GAGGCAATGCAGTAAAACGCCTGTGGCCCCATTCCTGCCTATCCAAATGATCATGGATACGGATGCACAGTCGAAATCTAAACCCAAACAGTCCTGAGATACACAGGTAAGTGATTGATGGGGCAGACGGTGCCGCCAACCCTCCGACGCATTTGACGCTTTTGACGCTTTCGACTTCTGACGCTCCTAACGCTCCGGGCTCCAGGAGCTTCGCATCGCATCCGACGCTTCTGACGCTCCTGCCGTTCGGGGCACAGGAGCTTCGGGACCTTTTTGATGCTCCTGACGCTCTAGAGATTCAGGAGCTTCAGAAGCTTAAGAAGCTTCAGGAGCTTCAGAAACTTCAGGAGCTTCAGGAAATTGAGGAGCTTCAGAAGCTTCGGGAGCTTCAGGAGCTTCAGAGGCCTCAGAAGCTTTGAGAACTTCAGGAGCTTCAGAGGCCTCATGAGCTGCGAGAGCTTCAAGGACCTCGGAGGCCCCGACACCACGCGGGAGGCCCCGACACCACGCGGGAGGTCCGAGCCCGCGCGGGACCCCCCCGGGAGACCCCGGCACCACGCGGGAGGCCCCGACACCACGCGGGAACCCCAAGGATACCCCGACACCACGCGGGTGGCTCCGACACCACGCGGGAGCTTCAAGAGCTTCAGGGGCTTCAGGATCTTCGAGAATCAGGAGCTTCAGGAGCTCCTGGAGCTTGCGCTTCAGGAGCTTGGAAAGCTTCAGGTGCTTCTGAAGATTCAAGAGCGTCAGGAGCCTGAGGGGTTGCAGGGGTTCTCGTGGAGTCGGGGACCACGCGGGGCCCCCGACGCCACGCGGGAGGCCCCGAGAGACCCCGACACCAGGCGGGAAACCACTACACCACGCGGGAGACCCTGACGCGCGGGAGGCCCCGACACCACGCGGGAACCCCACGGGGAAACCCCGACAACACGCGGGAGGCCCCGACACCACGCGGGAAGCCCTGGGGAGACCCCGACACCATGCGGGAGGCACCGACACCACGCGTGTGGCCCCGACGCCACGCGGGAGCTTCAGGAGCTTCAGGAGATTCAAGAGCGTCGGGAACATCAGGAGCTTCAGGAGCTCCGGAAGCTTCTGAAGCTTCAGGAGCTCTGGGAGCACCGGAAGCTTCAGGGGCTTCAGGCGCTTCGCAAGCTTCAGAAGCTTCAGGAACTTCAGGAGCTTCGGGAGCTTCAAGTGCTTCAGAAGCTCCGAGATCGTCAGAAGCTTCAGCGGCTTGAGGGGTTCGGGTAGTGTCGGCGACCACGCGGGGGCTCCGACACCACGCGGGAGACCCCGACAACACGCGGAAGGCCTCGACACCACGCAAGAACCTCCCGGGAGACCCCGACACCACGCAGGAGGCTCCGACATCGCGTGGGCCCCCCCGGGAATCCTCGACAACAACACGCGGAACCCCTGGGGAGACCCCGACACCACTCGGGAGACCACGGCACCACGCGAGAGACAGTGTCGGGGCCGTCGAGAGCGTCGGGAGCTTCAGGAGCTTCAGAATTTCGGAGGGTTGGTGGCACCCAGCGCCCCATCTGTGAGACAAGTCGTGAAAGAACTGCTGATCTAGCTGCTGTAGATCGTGAGGATGTATCCGAATGAGTGCTTCTTTAGGCCCCCCAAACTCTTCTGGTGCGGATGTCTCGAGCGAGGCGCTGGCTTCAGCAACCGAAGGGGCAGGACGCCACGGGCGGGGACACTACAATACTCAAGCCGAAACTGCGGCAATGTCTGAGGCGGCTTTGCTTTTTCCCAACCATGCTGTGGTGTTGGGTCCTCGTGTTCAAAAGACAGCGCCCCGCGGTGCTTCTCCTCCTCCTCCTCCTGCTCCTCCTCCTGCTCCTGCTCCTGCTCCTGCTCCTGCTCCTGCTCCTGCTCCTGCTCCTGCTCCTGCTCCTCCTCCGCCTCCTCCTCCTCCTCCTCCTCCTCCTCACCCCCCTCCTCCTTCAGATGTTGGCACACCCCTCACACGTTTCGTGGCCCCATAGGGAGCCCCACCAAAGGCCCCAGTGGCTGTGTACACACGTCTGTGCCACCCATTTCGGTACACCCCTCACACGTTTCGTGGCCCCATAGGGCATAGGGAGCTCCACCGAAGGCTCCAGATCCGATTTGGCACACCCCTCACACGCTTCGTGGCCCCACAAAGAGCTCCGCCGAATGCCCCAGTGGCACAGTCCGCATGGCGCACCCGCATGCGATTTGGCACACCTCTCACACGCTTCGTGGCTCCATAGGGAGCTCCGCCGAATGCCCCAGTGGCACAGACCGCATGGAGTACCCGCACCCGAGTCGGCACACCTCTCACACGTTTCGTGGCCCCAGCAGGAGCCCCACCGAAGGTCCCAATGGCACAATCCGCATGGCGTACCCGCACCGCTTTTGACACACCCCTCACACGCTTCGTGGCCCCATATGGAGCTCCTCCGAAGGCAGTCCGCATGGCGTACCCGCATCCGATTTGCCACACCCCTCACACATTTTGTGGCCCCATAGGGAGCCCCACCAAAGGCCCCAGTGGCTGTGTCCACGTGGCGTACCCGCACCCGATTCGGCACACCCTTCACACGCTTCGTGGCCCCGTAGGGAGCCCCTCCGAAGGCCCCAGTGGCAAAATCCGCATGGCCCGCGCCCGATTCGGCACACCACTCACACGCTTCGTGGCCCCATCGGGAATTCCACTGACCGAAGGCCCCAGCGGCGCGATCCACATGGCGCACGCGCACCCGATTCGGTACACCCCTCACACGCTTGGTGGTCCCATTAGGGGGGTCCACCGAAGACACCGGCGGCACAGTCCGCATGGCGGCCCCGCACCCGATTCGACACACCTCTCACACGTTTCGTGGCTCTGTAGGAAGCTCTGGTGCAGGCCCCAGTGGCTGGCGGCCCCGCCCCATTTCGGCACACCCTTCGCACGCTCCGTGACCCGATAGGGAGATGCACCGAAGGCGATACCCACAACGGCGGTACTCACAACTCTGCATATGGTTGGGTCCTTCGCCTGGATAGTTCTAGCCAGGGCTGACATGCTGAGAATCCGATGGCCCTGCCACACGCTCGCAACCTGGGAAAACTCAAATGGTGAGAATCCGATGGCCCTGCCACACGCTCGCGATCTCGGAAATGAGATTCTGAGAATCCCATGGCCGTGCCACACGTTCGTGACCTGGGAGTGACCTCGAAAAGCTGAACGGTGAGCATCCGATGGCCCTGCAACACGTTCAAGACCTAGGGGAAGCAGAGTGGCGAGAATAGCGCATGTTTTATACTGCATCGCGACCTGGGAAGGACTACGTTTCACGAGCGCTTGCCTTGAGAGCTTCCCACGACACGTCGGAACCGGGGAGCCCCCCCCCAAGACACGCACACAAACACACACACACACACACACACCACCCACCCACCCTGGAAAGGCCCGCCAGAGCGAGGACGGCATCTGGATACGCGTTATGCATCCGGTTTCGCGCCCCTCCTCCCCCCCCGCCGCCGCCACCACACCCCCATCAAGCTTCGCGCCGACCCACCCCACCCTTCCAGGGAGGCCCGCCAGAGAGGGGGCGGCATCGGGATGCCATGTTATGGATCAGGTATCCAATTTCGCGCCCCCCCCCCCGCCCGCCACCCCTTCAGGGAGGCCCCGCCAGAGCGAGGGCGACGTTAGGATACTATGTCATTCACTAGGTTCCGCGCCCCCACCACCACCACCACCACCACCACCACCACCACCACCACCACCACCACCACCACCACCACCACCACCACCCACGCGTACCACCCTACCTACCCACCCACCCACCCACCCACCCCTCCAAGGAGGCTCCGCCAGAGCAAGGATCGGGATACCATGTCATACATCAGGCCCCTCCGCACCCGCCCACCCACCCCCACTGGGGTCCCACCAAAGCGAACGGGGTGTCAGGGCACCATGGTCCATCGTGTTTCGCGCCTCGCCGACCCCGCCTCGCCCCCTTTTCCGCCCTCGCAGGGAGGCCCCGCCAGATCGCGGCAAAACGTCGGAACACAATGCGATGCATCAAGTTTCGCGCCGCCCACGCCCATCCCGGGAGACCCCGCCAGACCCCCCCCATCAAGAAATGCCCCGCCAGATTGCGGCAGGGCATCTGAAGCGCGCGCACAGGGCGCTCCACCACGCTGCCCACTGAGGCACCAGCCCAAAGAGGCCCCTGGCACGGCCCACAGAGGTCACATTCAACAGCCCACTGAGGGCACAAGCGCGCCCACAGAAGCCCCAACACGCTGCCCCCGACGCAGCCCAAAGAGGCCCCTTACACCTCAGGCAGCCTGCTGGGGCCCTTGACACATCCCACACAAGTTCGCCGGTCGTCGGTCTCTCCAGCAGCCAGAGCCGTGCCCGCGATCAGCCAGCAAGCTAGCTCTCTTCTCTCCGCACAGCGGACGACCCGCGCGCATCGCTGATGCCCTCGAGAGGGCCCCCGAGAGGGCTTCAGGAGGCGAAAAACCATGTTCCAAAGGTTGCCCAGTGTGTTTTTCCCAACCATCCTGTGGTGTTGGGTCCTCGCTTTGAAGAGACAGCGCCCCGCATTCCTCCCGCCTCCTTCCTCCCCCTCCTCCTCCCCCTCCTCCCTCCTCCCTGCGTTTCACTCACCCAGTACAGCGCTTCGTAGCTCAATAGGGAGCTCCACCCAAGGACCCAGTGGCAGGGTCCGCATGCAGTTCCACCTCCATTTCGGCGCACTCCTCACACGCTTCGTGGTCCCATAGGGTGCTCCACCCAAGGCCCCATTGGCAGGGTCCGCATGCAGTTCCACCCCCAGTTTGGCGCACCCCTCTCACGTTTCGTGGCTCCATAGGGTGCGCCACCCAAGGCCCCAGTGGCAAGGTCGGCATGCAGTTCCACCCCCTCATTTCGGAGCACCCCTCACACGCTTCGTGGCCCCATAGGGTGCTCTACCGACGGCTCCCGTGGCAGCGTCCGCATGGCGTACCCGTGTCAAGTTTGGCACACCCGTCACACGCATCATGACCCCGGAGAGGTTCACCGAGGTCGAGGGCTGGGTCCCTCGCCAGGATGGTTTCGCCCGTCTGCCGATCGAGTCTGGAAAATGCGTGTGCGCACGCGCACAACAACCAAGAAGAGGTACTCAAGCACTGGACACGCAAGCACGTGTCACGAGCCTCGGCCGTACAAGATGCTGTAGTACCAGGTGGGAAGCAGGAGTAGCCATGCAATAATCATGCGCACGAAACCCCAAATGAAGGCAGGCTTGTCAGAGACTATAGCTGCGCTCCTTGCATAGAAGTAGTAACCAGAGATGATACCCTGTATTTGCACACAGGCAATCCACAAGACGTTCGCATGCCAGCTCTGAAAGGATAGTGCGCCCGCTAACGCACCAGTCGCTGACAGAAACGCGTGGCCAAGCACGAACCCCAGAACCTTGGAATAATATGAGAAATAAGTGTTATTTTTGTTGAGGAGACGGCGCTCGTCAGTCAGATTGGCCTCCTCGACGAAAAGATCCATGAGGGTCTGGTAGCCTGCAATCGGACAAGGCATAAACGGCTGGACAAGTAGGAATGCGACGTATGGTATCACCCAGGGGACGTAGAAGCCGATCATACCATCCCAAACCAACTCGCCAAGACTTGGCATTGAATCAGAATCAAATACATGCCACTTCCAACGACGAGCGTAACTGAGCCACATGGGGGTTCCATGTAAGAACCAACTTTCAAACGCCTCGGGGTGGTGTAAGGCCACGGGCAGCTGGAGCATGAAGGTGGCTCCTGGAATAGGCCCGGACAGGATGATGTACAGAGCTCGGAACCAGGACTGCGAGCAAGTCAGCTCGAAGTGGCACAGTACGAGCGTGATGATGAGAGCTATCGTGCCCATAAAGCACAAGTCGATGAAGTAGAGGATCCATTTCCGGCGAAGGTAATACCCTACGCGGTACAATAGCAAGGCTGCCGATAATAAACAATACGTAAAGGACACATAGACCTCGTTCACATCGCTATAAAGGCAGACGACCGCCAAACCTACGTAAACAAGCCCAACAACGAGAAATGACTATCGGAATTGGAGCCACTTCTCGCTGATATCCAGTGCATAAGTGGACTGCTTTCGCATCAATGGCTTGCCATCGTGCACATCCGTCATCTCTGCCGCATCTTCCGGTCCTGATGCTTCTAATCCCGGTTGCGATGCAAACAACGTCACCGTTCCAGGTGCTGTCTGAATCATGTACTATACCAGGTCCTGTGGCTTTGGTCTAAACCAATATAGCTTGAGCCAAAATTGCTACGCAAAGGTTGTTCAATGTGTTTTTGGGTTCTCGCCCCTTCGGGCCCAGAAAGGCCTCAGACGGCCCAAGAGGTCCCAAAGATCGTCCCCTGACGGCCCCAGAGGCCCCAAAAAGGGAGCCACAAAACGGTCCAAGAGGGCCCCCCAGACGGCCCCACAGGGCCCCAAACTAGCCCAAGACGCCTCCAAGAGAGCCACAAGAGGGCCCCAAGAGGCTCCCAAGAGGGTCCGAAGAGGCGGTGTAGGGACTGGGCTGCTTGGGTGTGTGGGGTCTAGGCTGGCCCCAAGCCGACCCAAGAGTCCCAAAACGGTCCAAAATGGCAACCACACGACACCCAAGAAGGCCCAGAGACGCCAAGGAACACCATGGCTCTCCACAGCGAGCGCTGACGTAACAAGCTCTGAACACCAAGGCTCCCCAGACCGCGGTGACGCGAAGAGCTCTGAACAGCAAGAAGCGGCAACGTAAAAGTCTCTAAACACCCGGGCTCCCAACGGAGAGCAGTAACGCAACAAGCTCTGAACGCCAAGGCTCCCAATAGCGAAGGGTGCCATGAACCCTCTCGAACAAATTCATGCAACGCTCTTTCCGTTCCCATGCTGGCCCAAGTGACGGAAAGAGCGAGGCACGCGCGAGAGACGTTGCGGTTGGGGCGATGCCCTTATACGGAGGGGGTCCGGGGGAGGGGGCAAGACCGGGGACGATGGTTTAATGACCCGTTTCCCCTTGTTTTTTTTGTTCCGAATGCAGCGGCTCACGGGCGGTTCCCATGGCCTGTTTCTTCGTACTTGTTCGGGTGAACTGGCCAAGAGGGACCCAAGACGGGCCAAGAGGGCCCCAAAACAATTTCAGAGGGCCCCAAGACGGCCCCAAGAGAGCTTCAGATGGCCTCCAGACAGTCCAAGAGAGTCTCGAGACGGCTCCAGAGGCTCTCAAGAAGGCCCCCGAGAGGGCCTCAGGAGGCCAAAAATATTGAATTCCGTATGCTGTTTGCAGGTTTTGCTGGTTCTTCCCTTTTCAATCCCAGAAGGGCCCCAGACGGGCCAAGGGGCCCCAGATCGTCCGAAGACCGCCCCAGAGGCGCCCCAAAAGGGCCCAAAACAATCTAAGAGGGCCCCCAGACGGGCCCAAAACGGCCCAAGAGGCCCCAAAGATCGTCCCAAGACGGCCCCACAGGCGCCCCAAAGGGGACGAAACAATCCAAGATGGCCCCCACCAAGACGGCCCAAGAGGGCCCCCAGACGGCCCCAAGAGAACCCCAAGAGGGCCCCAAGAGGCTCCCAAGCGAGCCCCAGGAGGAAGGGGAGGAGGAGGAGGAAGAGGAGGAGGAGGAGGAGGAGGAGGAGGACGATGAGGGGACAGGGAGGAGGAGGAGGAGGAGGAGGAGGAGGAGGAGGAGGAGGAGGAGGAGGAGGAGGGGGAGGAGGAGAAAGAGGAGGAGGAGGAGGAGGACGACGACGACGACAAAGAGAAGGAGGGGGAGGAGGAGGAAGAGAAAGAGGAGGAGGGTGAGAAGGAAAGGGAGGAGGAGGAGCAGAGAGCAGAGCAGCGCCGATGATCCGATGGCACGCTGAGCCCAAGACGGCCACCCTGCAGGCCACTGGGAAACTAAAAAACGGAGCGGGCGTTCGAGAACCACTTAAGGGGCTCGGAAGTCTATGGGGCCCTGCAGGGGGATACCACTGGCAAAAACAAAACCCCCGTTCGGGGACGCCTTGGGGGCTCGCCTATGCACTCCCGCACTGAGCAGAACCGAAGGCAAACGACATATAAGTTTGCCCCAGCACCATCCCCTCAGGATTCTCGGCGCGGAACCGCCCAGACCTCCGAGGGCCGAGAAGACCCACAAACGCGGCCCTCCCCAAAAGGGCTCTCGGCCAAGCGAAGCCGACGGGGGGCCTCGGAAAGCGCCCGCAAACTGCCCGCGCCGAGGAAGGCCTGAATGGGAGTTGCGCGAGGATCGGAGAGGGGGTCCGAGCCTGGAGGGCGAGAAAGGTGTCTTCCTGGAGGTGACCCTGGAGGAAAAGGCCAGCAGCTCTACGAGAGCCGTCGCGACCAGGCGCGCTCGGAATCCCACCTCACTAAAAGTTCGTCGTCGCCCTGGCCCTGGCCCCCTTCCGCCGGTTTGTCCTTGAGGCCTAGCTGGCCCGGCAGCTTCGCCGCCTCGCGCTCCAGGCCCCCTCGCGGCGGGGACCCTGGTAGGTAGTGCACCTTCGTGCTGGCCTCCTCGTTGTTGCTCACCGCCTCCACGGTCCTGCGAACAGCCTCCACCAGGGTGGTCTCGCATCCGTTCCAGTTGTTGGCCTGCTGCTGGACCCCCAGCATCATCTGCAACTTGTAGCGGTCGGGCTCGTTCGTCTTCTTCCTGTCGCACCAGCATGCCTTGAGCCTGAAGTGCCTGCAGTGCACCGCAAGCGTGTCCAGCGCCGTCGGCGACAGAATCGCCGCCCTCCAGTTGTCCATGAAGAAGTCCTTGGCGTCCTGTGGAGTGGTCTCGGCGCCCTCCGCGCAAGCCCACTTGATGAACGCTTTGAAGACGTGGGGCCAGGGTGGCCCACGCCTGTGGTCCTTCCCGTCTGCCTTGCAGTTATCCGCGTAGTTGCGCCCCGTCTCCTGAAGCACCTTCACGAACGGCACCTCTGCGCCCACCATGTAGCACGTGTAGCAGGCGCCAGTCACCTCTGCCAGCTCGCGCGCGTCGGTGAGTGCGAGCTTCGCGAGCACCGTCAGCAGCGCGGCCAGCGCACCGCCCTTGCCCCGCTTCTGGTTCGCCCTGGCCTCCTGGCCGAGCCCCCCCAAGAGACGAGCCTGCTTGACACCCTTCGAGTCGCCGCTGTCTCCGCCTGCCCTGTCTTGCGCTTGCCGACTGCCCAGCTGGGCCCCTCCATCGCCGCGAAGAACTAAAGGCAGGTCATCGAAGTGGACGCGTGTATGGATATGAAACAGCTGCTTAGTCGCTGGTTGAGCCTCACATAGGCGACAATCGAAGGGCCCCTCTGGAATCTCGAGCTCGAGCGTCGCGCTGAGCTGCGGCTTACAAAAGCCCGATGCGAACGAGTCCAGGACGCGGTTGCAAGCCGCATTGCGACTCTGGAACCGACTGCAACACACGAAACACGAAGTCCCAGGAAGAGCCTTTGCGAGAAGGGTCCTGTACCCGTCGACCACCCGAATGTGGACGAGCCATTGCCGTTTTGTCAAGAACCATTTGGCGCAGTCCCCGACCCCGCAGACATATCCTTCAGCGCGCCCTGCGGGTACCTCAGGAGGTGCAGCGGGGGCCCCACGGAGCACTCCAGGAGGGGGGAAGCAGACCGACAGCCAGGCCGCCCTGACGACCGAGAGGTCCACCTCCGTGAACCAGTCCCTCAGACCCCCCTCCCGGAGAAACGCCGGCGGGGCACCCGACCACGATCGATCGCATGTCCTCCTCGAAATCCGAAGAAACCCTCCGAAGAGCTTCGAGGCCCCTGGCGTGCTGAACCGCCCGCGGATTCGCCGTGGCCGCGAGGTGGCCCTCGGAGTCCAATGTGCGGAGCCCTCGCTGCTTCTCGATTTTCACGTCGCCAAAGAGGGGGGCCCACTCACTCATGTGCCGATCGGGGTTGAGAGCCCACTTAGGGCACCACCGCAGACGCCGAACACGGAACTCGACCTCGAGCGGGGGGGGCCTTCCAGCACCTCAGAACGGCCACCGAGGAAATAGAGCAAGCGCGACCGCCATCCCAAGACGCAGCCGCCCCCCTCATCGCTTTTCGCCCGAAGAAGACAACCCTGGACGTGAGCGCGTGGATCTGGGCCAGGGTCGGGAGGAAGGCTTCACGCGCCGAACAAGCTGGACCCACCACCCTGGCCAGGAAGACAGCCCGTCTCTCAGTAGGAGATGCGCTTCGAGAACCAATACTTTATCATGGAGTAGAAGCCCGAGGAGATCGCGGCCAAGCGTGAAGCCAGCTCTGCCCGAAAAGAACAGTTGCCCATGACCTGGCCCCCAAGATGTCGCGCAGCGTCTGCAGGAGCCGCAGAGAGAACAGCAGTTTTTTTTGTTTTCGATCACCTCACGACGGCGCGCATGTAGCCCTCCACCCACAAATGACAACAAGCTGACATTCTTGGTGGGATTCAGTGCGAATCCGTGGCGCCTCAGCTCCGCGGAAAGCAGAAGGTCGCATGCCCTCGACCACCGCGCGAGCTCCAGAGTCGATGTCTGGCCGGACAATCTTCCTGATGACATCATCTACATATGAGTGAAACGCCAGGTCCAGGATGATATCTTCACCGTCGTAGTGTAGGAAAAGTGTGCACCAAGTGGCTGACTCAGGCCCACATTCGGCAAACTGCTCCTGGACTGTCTCAAAAACTGTGCTGATGTCGCGTGCGAAAACCTTGACCGTCCAAGGGTCGCCAATGAGCGCCCCGACACTGGGCCGTACACATATATCGCCAAACATCACTGCTGCGAAGCGAAAGCGTTGCCTTCCGTACCTCACATGATCATCATCCATAATGCTCTCATTCGCTGTAGCAAGACTGGCCCAGTCCGTGGAAGCAAACGCGTTGGTAATATCCTTCAAGTCCGCGACGTGACTGAGACCCAGGTTGCATAACTTCCAAATGCACAGCTGCTGGCCGAGGATAGCCGTCTCGCGGCGTCGGCGTGGGATGCGCCCGCGGGCGAAGAGGGGCTCGGAGCTGAGTTCCACGGGGTCATAAATCCCTTGCCGAATGGGTCGAGAAGGTGGATGGCCCGCTTCCACGAGGGCGCCGCACCTTGGCTCAGGTGCCAGACCAATGGGACCTGTCCTGATCTGCGAAGCCGATGCAGGACAATCACAAGAAAGCGTCGAGTGAGCTCCTGGTCTATCCCGGGGGTGGTGTAGCCCACGCCGTGGTACCGTCGTGCAACTCTGCGGCAGGGGTGCAGCACCATCCACCACAGCTCCAGCGGGGCCTTCCACGACGGGCAAGCGCGTCGCTTGGGGGCTCGTCGTATCCAGCGGAGGAGCTCCTGCAAACAATGCTTAGCCCCCT